CAACATCCACAAAGTCAGACTACGTATCATACGATTAATGATGTGATACTGGATAAAACCGCTATGGGAAAACAACACGAAACATTATAATATGAAATGAGTCAAGCACAACAACGAGAAAAGGAACAATACGATAAACACCGAAGACCAGATCCGAACATACAACCAGGAGATATGGTATGGCTAATACCATGCAATATTTATACAACATAACCATCAAAGAAATTGGACTACAAGCAAATCGGACCATTCAGGATATTGGAAAGAGTAGGCAGCTGAGCTTATAAACTCGACCTTCTCCCCTCAATGCGAATACACAACACATTCGACATCTCACTCCTCGAATTACACAACAACAACAAGTTTCCCTCACAAACACTTATTCCTCTCCCTCCAATCGAACTCAATGGAGAACCAGAATACGAGCTTGACGAAATAGTCGATTCCTGCTTCTTCCACAGTCACCTCCAATACCCAGCCAAGTGGACAGGATATTGGCCTGAACACGATAAAACTTGGTACTTCGCACACAACTTTGAACACGCACAAGATGCTATCTCAACCTTCCACCAGTGATCCTCAGGCAAGCCTGGTCCAGGTGACGATCACGTTCAACCAAGACAAAGGCGAGGGAAAGGCTCCCGCGCCATTGTAATCACACGAGGACTGGGACAATACCCCACGCCAAACCACACCTACCAGCCCCAAATACTCATTCATGGGGCCGACAGACGAAGAACTCAAGGAAAGAAAACAACAAGCACAGTATAACGCCATGTCGTGGACAGTATGCTATGATGATGGTTGCCAAACACATTTTGGCGACAAAGAAGGCTTGGGATGGTTCCCGAGAGAATGTCGAAAACATGGTCCACACCCGGACTACGTCTTGAAGCATTGGCAACAATGCTTCAGAAATAGGTGCAAGATGCACAGGGCACAGAAAATATCTGCGGGATTCTACCCACGGAAGGATGGAAGCAGGAAAGAGTTGGAAGCAGAAGATACCAGAAAGGCATGGGCCGCGAGGACGCGGTCCAGGGAGGGAGGGGCCTAAAACTCCTCAGCAGACATGGAACCGGATGTCAGGAGCCTACACAGGCAGATCTGGGGACTCTGAGAACAACTTCGCCAAGCTGAGGCCATAATTTCGGCAAACGACAAAACGAGCGCGGAGCTAAGACAGCTGAACACTCATCAGCGGCACACGATTAAGATGGCAAATCTCACTCTAGAATCGGTAAGGATCAGATGGAGGATGGCAGACGAAAAGTTCCACAAGCTGGGAAGGACCATGAGCTCGGCAGGACAGGAACTACTGAAACTGGAAGAAAAAGCCTGAGAGGACTCAGGCTTAGGAGGAGGGGAGCTAATGTCACAAATGTCACGAACTTGACTTGGCATAAAAGAGGTTTTCACGTGACAAATTGTTATGAGTCACATGTATGTTATTGTTTCCCACATATGACTCATTTGGGTCATATAATTTATTATGTGTGGGATTTATAATGCTTTCATACATGGCTCAAATATGAGTCATGGAATGTGCGTCTGGCAAGTATGCCTTGCGAGGGTGCCTTGCGGGTAAGCCTTATGCATATGATTTATGTTTTGCACATGACCTCGTTATGAGGTCATTGGTTTCACGCACATGACTCAGTCAAGTCATATGACTTGTTTATTGCATTATGATTAGTTTATGAGTTTTTGTACATGACCTTGCTATGAGGTCATGGGTTTTGAGCATGTGATCACTTTGGTCACATGACTAGTTTGTTATGATTTGGTTTTGCACATGTGACCACTTTAGGTCACATGACTATGGGTAGGAAGAATACTATATAAGAAGGCCAATGCGGCCGTGGAAGATAGGTTCTTCACGCTTTGTTCTAAGTACTTTTCCTACTTATTACTTTAACAAATATAAAACACCTTTATGATCTTTATCTTTATTGCAACGTTATCATTACGCCAAGGAAAGCGCTTTATGAAGAAGAGTTAGAGAAAGCTTACGATAGGCGTTCCCGATAGAAGACAAGGGTCTTGTACTATCGATAACGTAGGTAGAGGCCTAGAGCTATCATAAGACGAAGTAAGAGGAAGACAGAAATGAGAAGTATCGTTCCCCATTGCCAAGAACTAACTATCCAAGGAGGGATCGTTACAGGTAGTTATAAATTCAACCTTCCTATGTTGCCAACTTTAGCCCTCCATAACACTGGATTCAACTGACAGATCTCTTCTAGATAACTTCTTATTAATTCGTAGGTAGCCATTCTACTAGATTGACAGATAATCCCTCAGTCTACAACACTTGGTTACTCTAGGTAATAGGATTTCAGTTATTGTTTTAGCATTAGTAATTATCTGCTCAACTACAACACTTTCCTGAACCTAGTTGTAATACTCCATAAAGCCTATTGGCTTTGGTAGTAGTATTTCCTGAAGTTCTGCACTTTTCTAATTATCTTATGGTGGGTGCAAATATATTTGTTTCTCGTAGAGATCCTTTAACATTCGATACTATATCTTTGTGCACAAACCTCATGTTACTTATAGCCCTTGCTAAAGATGTTCCATTTTTGAAGTTTAGTAAACCTCTGAATAGTTGATAGATTTACACCGTTCCACTTCCCAGACTTAGCCAAAGGTCCTCTCTCATATATTCTGTGAACAGGATCTGGTCAGACAGATGGTGGTGATGTATATAGTGTTAATCTTGCACCTTAAACTCTGTGGCATTATAGTCACAGGATGTAACTGAGATAAATATATATAATGACAGGTGGGCTCCCTAAGGGGGCCAGAAAGGAGTATTGGAGACTAGAGATTCCAATTCCAAGTAAGATTATCCCAGTTAGGATGGTCCCAAGGTATTGGATCCTGGTACTCCTAATACTTACCTCTTATTTCTGCTTGATTTCTTGATAGCTCAGAGAACTTTTGTCTTCATTATCATTTCTGATAATGACTATCGTCTCGTACTCTCATTACATCCTGTAAGTGAGACTTCTTTTCTTACTTAATATCGCAGAAGATGTTTGTAAGGTATTGATTCAACTTATGGTATAGGAAAGAACTTAAGTGATATTGTGAGGAGTCTGTACCGGAGGTCCCTGTGCCGCTATTTATACAGACACCTTACTCAATCCTAACCCTCTGTAATCTATACCTTCAGGTTACCACATCCTATGACTCACAATTGTAGTCCTGTGAGATCCTCAGCTGACTCATATGAGTCAACTGTACAATATACTTAAACCAATCATAAACCTTATAATAAGTCATGTGCACTAAGTACATCATATGTGTAAGACTCCTAACTCATAAGTATGAGTCACGTGCGAAAGTCATAACATCATTTGACTCACAACTGTGAGTCATCACATAACCATAAACACCTACGACTCGCAAGTGTGAGTCATGTAAAACCTTTATTCCTCCTTGCCAATCTGCCTTATCACAATCCGGTTTGTGATATTGTCTTCTGATATCAGTTACTACAGCTCCTTGTGTCCTGAGTTTTACTACTATGTCCTGTTATGTTCTAAGCATTGTAGGTATATTCTATTATGTCACAAGCTTACCACTTGTGTCCTGTTACTCCTGGTTAATAATTTGCATTTTCAATATCCTGTATATTTGATAGACGGAATGTACAAAATGCAACCATGAATTTTTGCTGATACTATCTTGGAAAATACTAAGCAATTGTTCATAAAGGTGGTACTCACTTGAAGATGATTATTATCTTCTATTATAAATAAATGGGCCTGTTTAAAATTGACTAAATAAAGTACCAACTATAAATACATTTATTGAGAGAATATATACTATATTATAACCTTCTTTTTTTGCTATTCCTATTTGATTGGTCAGAAATAGAATTTATTACATTATTCCAAGCAGTCAATTGAAACAGTAAGCTCAAGTTGGAAAGTTCTAATGTGATATTTTTAGGTCTGCCTTGTTTTGGTCTAGGTACTTGGATCCTTCCACTTGCTGATCTTTTCTAAAATTTTGGCCACCTTAACCCTCCATTGTGATCCGAGGGTTCCCTGCGAAACTCGAATTTTGCTTCATCTCCGCGTACTCGAGTACACTATAGTACTAGTATTCCTGCTGCTCTCGAGTACTACTGCCCGCTAGGCGGGGCTTGGCAGAGCCAAGCCAGGGACCGGATCTCGCGCTTCGGAGGTTGGAAATTGCCGAGCGAAAACGACGAACTGGGTATAATTTCTTTTTTCTTTCTGCCTTTTTTGTTCTATTTTACCGTCAGTTTTGATTCTTGCCGGGATGATGTGAGGTGTTCGCCCCGGGGAGGAGTGCCGGTATTGTGCTTGTGTCCCGGACAGGAGGTTAGAGAAATATAAGTTACCGGTTATCGAAGAAAATCCGGGCGTATAGGTATGATATCTAGGCTCCCTGTGAAACATAACCCCACCCCCAATGTTTCCGAATGCTCCTTGCCTGTACCGAGTACTTGCGCCGTAAGTTAGCTTATATTTGTGCCTGGCAAGCTCCCTCCGGAGGGTACGTGCTGTATGATAGGATGTCTCTCCCAGCTCCTTTGAGGCGGATGAAAATGAAGATTAAGCTTATAGGGAGGGTTGGACAAGGGGTTGCACAAGCGAGCTCCTCAAGAGGAGGTTCGCATACGAGTAAGTGAGACCTGCATACTCTCCGGGGTTCACATTTCATACTGTTCGAGAATAATGCTTCTGCTTATGGAATGTTAGGGAACATTTTCCTTTAAACTTCCTTTTTCTTATTCTTCTCTTCCTTTCTTTTTCTGTTCTCTTAATTTATATTCTTTTTCTTTTTTCTTGCTTTTCCAGATAGGCGTCCCGCTCAGCACGCAAACACCCCAACGACCGAGGGCACCAAACTATTACCATAGGCAGATGCATGCACGGGCACGGGCTCGTCAGCCTCAAGTGTGTACAGGAATGCAACAGAGTGTGATGGATGGACTGCCAAAAGTTTCACCCTCCCTTTTCTCATCTTCTCCTGAGTCCTGACCCTGATCCCTTTGTTGTATAATTTGCTCCGCGTGTAACAGTAACGATCTGGGTGATTGCATGTTTCAATATTAAAAGAAAAACAAATTTCGATTCAGTAATCACGCCATCATCATCATCCTCCTCCGCCGCCCCATTAACCCTATCGCCAAACACAACTCCTTCCCATCCCTCCAAATAAGAAACAAATGAAAGGAAAAATTGAACGAGCGTAGAAACAGTAATATGAGAAATCTTCGTGACAAGAATAGTGCAAAGGAAAATCCTGCCGTCCAGGAGTTCCGGTGGTGGTGGTAGTGCTACTGGCGGAGCAACCCCCTCGTCCTGGGTCCTCCTCCTGGCGCTGGCGCTAGTGGTGGTCCTCAATCCGGGCCTCCCAGGAATATTCGGGCTCGGATGATCGGGGTGATCGAATATAGCGGTCCGGCTGATACTGAATCCTACCCTGAGGAAATCATCCAAGCCCAATGGTGGAGCCTTCCAGAGCCGGGGGAGGTTCCGGATAACCTTTCCCTTCCTCTTCCGCCTGCACCGCCTGATATCGCTCTTGCTAAAGCCCAAGTCGCCTCTAAACCCAAACAGCCGTGAGTGTGAATAATGAGAGAATGTAGAAGAAGACGACCCAAAACAACTAATAGAACAAGACATGGAACAAGGAGAAAATGCCAGATACCGAAACATATTTACACATTTGCGCGCGCGGGCTGTGCAGACCGATGGTGCTTGCAGTGGAAGTTCTCGTGCAGGGTTCGATCGCCGCTGGCCCATTGGCGGCTCTGGTGATACTCGCGCTGCTGCCTCTCTCTCTCCGCGGGCGTCTGGTTCTGCTGGCGCTTCTGGCGCTCCAGAGATTCTTCGTATCCCCTCTCGCCTGGGCGGAGTATCTCGGTGGTCGCGATGGTGGTGGTAACGGTCATGGTCACTGTCTTTGTCACCATCTTCCCGTACGACGCCACACGGGTCGTAGTCTTCCCCGTACGCGCGTCCAACACCGGAGGTGCCATCTCGGGCTTCTCGTAGGAAGTGTGCACCTTTTGATCCGAAACTACATATGACACGCAGTCCCAGTTCACTGTGGGCTGGCGTTTGTCGTTTTGTGCGCCGTTCAGTGCACAGGCATCCTCCGCTTCTGTCGTCTCCTCCGTTTTGATGGCCGGGTTGGAGGGCGGCGGGATCGATGCGGTGTAGGAGGAATTGATGGTGTCCGAACATCTGGTGTTGTTGGATGCCGTGCTTGAGGGCGGCACTTGGTATTGCTGCGCTTGCGTGTTCGGTGGCAGTTGCTGTTGGTGCTGGGTATAGGGAGGGGGGGGGGTAGTCCTCGGGGTCACTGGCGGGGTCTCCAGGGTTGTCCTTCCTGCTGGCCTGGCCGCCGGAGTACCGGCTTGTGCTGCTGCCGCAGCCGTGGAACTCCTGGTCCGGGGGGATTTCCTGGGCCTGTGATTCGATTCCTGAGGCTCCTCTCGGGTGCTCCTTTTTCCTGTTGGCATTGTCCTGGATAGCTTCTGGGCAGGAAACTTTCACAGATCGATCTAACACGGTGGGTCCTTGGGCACGGGAATCCAAATTGGCTACTTGGCCGTGTGTTTGGCTGGACCAAACTATGGATCCAATCTAGAGGGAATCCTGTGGATGGGAGTGAATCCGCAAGAACTAATGATGCCTCTGTGCTTCTTCAAGGAAAACGAGAAAAACGGAGGGGATTGATGTTAGTAAAATGAAAGAGTGTGAAAAATATAGAAAAAAGGAAAGGGAAAAAAAAAAGATTGAGACAAGACTGAACTAGTATGGAAAGGTGGTTTTTGATTTTAATAACTCGTCCTCTAATTATTTTTTTCGTAAATAGATGATGAAGGTTGAGGTCCCGGGAATTTCGGGAGTTTCAGGAGTCTTGGGGGAGAGAGGGTTGGGAGGACCAACACACGCTAGGGGGAAGAGATATAGGATAGAATGGCCGAAAGATGTCAGAGGTTGTTGTGGTATAGATATAGAGGGAATTCGTGCTTGTTCCTCCTCCTCCTCTTCGATCACTGCGGCGAGCGCCTTTTTAAACTTTTTAAACTTCAGAGCATTGTCTATATACGTACAAGTAGCAGTATCCATAACTCATAACTTGTGGAAGACATGGATGCGTCCACTACTGCACTTACGGTTGCTCCCCACCGTATTTCGCGGCGACCTGTTGTACCATCGCAGGGTGGGAAGGCTGTGTGGTGTGTGTGATTTCGCCTTACTTGTATTAGCAAAAAAAAAAAGCAAAGAGGCAGGGCGAAAGATACTCCCCCCCTTCTCGGCACACCCCATAGAGAAAGTACTGGAATAGCGCCAGCTCGATTTTGGCGCAAGTAGGAATTTCTAATAAACAACCGTAGAGCACTTGTAGGCCAACATTTTGATCTTCTTCTCTCATGTTGGTAGTTCGCCGAGATTCGGCTAAGAGAGTGTTCCATTCACTAATGAACTTGCAGTAGAGTACTTGTATTATTATTGAAGCCTCCATGTACTAGTTCGAGTAGATTGGATTCAACAAAGAATCATACTTACACACCCTGGCACAGATCAAGGCCTCGACCAGTGCAATGATACATCGGAACTTTAACTGGCGGTAAAAAGGCTCTACGGTAGGTGCGCGAAGCCCCTGCCTATCGCAACATAGGTGGGGTGGAGAGAGTGCTTTGCTGCAGCTACCGTAGTTGGACTAAAGTTTATCTCGGAGGTCCTCAGTCGGTATCCGCGACAGGCTGGCTATCATAGGCAAGGTTCTAGCAGCATGCCCATATCATCTTGGATACTATTGATGCCTGATATCTGAGCCTTGTAGCCTTTAAGATATATCGTTGGAAATTCACAGACGAACACTTTTCTCCCTGTTCACCATTATCCGTTTCTCTCGGGGCCCCTAGAGACACCTCCAAGTGACCACACCCACGGGAGACGTTTGATATAGGTTGGTTGGCTGTGAGCGAACGAGAACGATATACTACAAGTACGATGACGGCCAGATTTACAATGTGACATCGGAATTTCCCTCGTTGCTGGGGGACGGCCCAAGGCTCTCGCGAAGTGGGTGAACGAATTCGTCAATGAGAGGCGACAGCCCTAACATATCCCCCCGTCCACGATGAGGATGATCAGTGCTCAATGCAAATCATCTGGGGGTGGTGATTGTGGTTGACGGATGACCCTTGGGGACATCCTCATGCGGCTCCCATATATTGTTTTCCCACCTCCCCACCAGTTTGACAAGAGCCTAAGGTGGGGAGAAAATCCACAGTTGCTCATCGCTACTAAGCGTGATCGCTTGATGAACAGTCCAGGGTTTAGGGCAGGGAAAGCACGAATTGTTGTCATAAGATACCGTGACCAGCAAGTTTGTTGTTTTTTCGGGGCGATCGTAGCCTAGGGTTTATCATGGCGCAGGTATATATGATAGCATACCACTACTGCTAGTATAGAGGTGCTTTTTCTACTCTAAATGCGAAATGAGGGAGCAAACTGGGAGTGCAACGATTGTTGGAAGCGTAGTCTGATATCACCATGTTGCCTATCTCTCGTGGTCCTGGCATTGGAGTTTGGATTTTATATATGTATTGTACTAGTAGAGTGTTAAAGTTGAGTTACCTACGGCAGATGGGTTGTCGCAGTGAATTCTAGCATAATAACACAATATAGTGGTATGGAATAGGGTGCTCCCACAATCAATACTATCATAGTGATTGTGACAAGAACAAAGGATTGAGTCGCAACCGCGCCTCGGCATCTTGCACTCGTGACTACATCAATGCTACGGTACCTCCCTCTTAAAACTAGAAGCTACTTTATCCTCACGCAATGGTGCGGCTAGGCAGACATCTCTACCCGATCATCATGTACCGTTAATCTACGGGCACATTCTTGGGAGTCTCTTATCGGTAAGACATGGAGTCCCCCGCCGTTCCCATCATCCCTAGGCAGCGGACCGGCCCCATGGCATGTTAGCCCTGCGCCTGTCTCGGGGCATATATTCCATACGAGGGGGGGGTAACGCGAGGGGCTACCGCTACCGTGTTGGTTGCCAAAATAGTTTGTGCCATTTATTGTCCAACTACTATAGTTATACTGGGGGCGGGCGGTGGGGAGTACCCGGATAGTCAGTACTCGTACCAGTACTTGTATTACCCCGTTTGGTCCAAAAATAGCACAACTTTAATAGCTTTTCCGGGGCTGTTGGCAGTCGTTGGAGCGCACTCGAGTACGACTACCGGTACCGGCATTGGCACAAGGATAAACGACTGCATTACGAGAATCGGTGCGTGCTGCTTCGTCGAAGGATATCTGAGAGCTGCCGTACCCCTGTTGATCCCGTCCAAATATCTACAGCCGCAAGACCTATGTTTTCCGATTTTATGAATAGGGCATGTCTTGTCCGATGATCTGCAGCAAGTGACCCCCGCTATCTTCGTCATCCTTAGATTCTCAGATGTGGTTGCAGGAGATGTCACTCGCAATCGGCGCCTGCTGCAGCGGTGGGCGGGGTGCGCAGTACCGTGTGATGCGGCGGTAAAAAGCGAGAGTCAAGATATCGGAAAGGGTTTGCGAATCCACTGTTTGATTCCATTTTTCAAACACCGTCGATAGCCGCCAGTATACCGAGTGCCAGATTCCCTTGAAACAGCGTTTCCTTAGGAGCCCAGATATGTTTGAATTCAGATATTGCTACGCACTGGCGATGCCTGGGCGGCTGGAAATGTCCAAGGGGGGGTTACATATTTCGTTCTATTTAGAAATATTTCTTGTGGTGGAGCGTGAGAAAAGCCAATGTGACCTGCGGTCTACTAACGATTAGAATGATGGAGGGGCGATTGGAATCATTTGGATTGTGGGTGAGGGTGAGGGTGGGTACGGTAGGATCATATGGTCTCTATTTGTTCGCATAGCTCCGCACTTTCTGTTTCAGATAAGGTCCCAGAGCAGTCTAGATGTCTAGATCTTCTCCGCAATGAGGGGAACGAAGCGATTGCGGGGTCCGGAGCAGTGCCGTTATGTACTTGGTTCATACTTGAGCGCCTGCTACGCAGCACGTGTGGTGGGGGTATCGTATATACAAGTACCGGTACTCGTACAATACGGTATTCGAGTATGATATGATATAGGCACCCGTAGCGGTGGGGGATGTGACCAGACTCGGACCTGTGCGACAGCGGCGCCGCAAGAATAAATCGTCCCTTCCCGGACAGCCGAATCCTTGAAGGCAACTGCCGAAAGGATCGTGCCGTATTATATGCATGCTGGTTGCTATAGTAACCGGCAAAGGTAGTACCGTACGGGCATGGTTTGGTAGGGGCCATGAGGAGTACGATAAGAGGGGTGGGGGCTTGAAGTGCGATGCATTATGATGCTATAACCTATTGGGTCGTGACGAAGCTGGCTGAGCTCAGGTGCCAGGCGAGTGAATCTTTGAGGGATCCCCGGTTCCCGCAGATCAGATCAGCTGCTGGGCAAAAAGGGAAAGATCGGTGACTGAATTTTGACTCCTTCCCCCTCCCGCTCCTTCCCCCTGCCCCCCCCAGAACTTTGCCTTCGAGCCGCAACTCTACGAAATCTCGTTCCAACTCGCACTCTAGCGAGACTATCTAATAGGGCTGGGTTAGCCTAAATTTTGGTCCTTTCATCATCAGAAAAACCCCCGAACGAGCACCAATTGGCTCCCACCGGGCGAAGCCTTATGTGTCTACGATGACTGGTGGCCCCTCATACAGGGGAAGCAATCCATCATGGCTACCGGATACGGTATTCATTTATCGATTCTCCAACTTGCGGTCACAGCCGTCGAAGCGAGTATATATATACTCTTGCTCATAGAAGCTGAAATCCTCTCAAGGGGATTACAGGCAATAGAGAAGAGGGTAGAAGAGGGGGTCGAGGTTAAGTGAGGATCTCGTGGGCGCGGAGCACGGATCAGCGTAAGCTACATGCGCACAATTTTCTTGGTCGGGAGGACTGACTGTGTTTTGCAGTATGATACCATGAATCAACTCTCCGGTGCCCTGAGTTGTATTGAATTGACCGACTACCCGTACCAGAAGTGAAGCCTGAGGGTGAGTGATTACCCGTGAGATCAGCTGGACGTGAAATTCCCCTGGCCGCCCACCAAGTCGGGGAAATGGTGCCTCCAGCTACCGTAGGACGTTGGGGGTTGCCTCTCCCGGTGAGATTTGTTATGGTTTCCTTTTTCATCCCCCTTACAGGTAGCGGGAAGCTGAAGCCGTTTTTTTCGCACTGTTTGCCCCCTTGATCCCAAGAGGGGAGTTCTGGACTTCTTAGTCCGATGCCCGATTATTACGTTTGCTACTTGTACTTGTACTAGCTGATTCTTTTAATATCCGGACACTTTGGCGCCAAGCCTGATACAAATTAGCTCCAAGGTGTCCGGACACTTTTGAAATCGGCGAGTACTTTACTCGTACAACAGAGCAGGCAAGGAGTATCGATAACTAGGGTGGTGAGTTTGTGCTCGAGTCCCGGTACTCGAGTCCCGGTACTTGTATGAGCGCTCAGATACGCACGGATTTTTCGCCTATGCGAGTACGGTATACTGTACAAATATTTTGAGAATCCCTGTTATCGGGTATAGTACTGTTTCACACCGCCCAAGTCGGTTTTGCTGTCAACAATAGCAATTCGATAGCTGCTTTCGGTTTGGCGCGCTTAGAATGATACCGAATTTTACTCGGGCACTGTCTCATCCCCGAGATAGGTAACAAGCGCCCTAACATGCGATTGGACTTTGAATTTTGTATGGGCATACTGATGCGCACAGGTAATCGGCCATAGTCTACATTCAGTTAAGCCACGTGATGAACCATAGTGAACAGTGAACAGTGCTTCTTGCCTGTAGGAGGTGCTCGTGTTGCCGGATTGAAGTCGCGTTTTTGGCACGCCACCGCTAAAAGAGCGCGACTTCAATCCCGCAACATGAGCGCCTGCAGTTTTGCCATAGTCGCCGCGTTCTCGAATTGGAATGCTGTGAGGTACTGCGCTGTGCGTTCAGTTGGGCGGCTCCGTCGGCAGGGTCCATCCTCCTCGCAGGGCTTGGCTGTGCAGAATTAAAAAAATATCTGGCC